TTACGGACATGGAATCCCAAAGCACGAACGTGAACCGTTAAGGGGTAAGATCATATCCAACACGCTTACACCTGCCTCTCGTTATTTTTGTAATCAATTTACATCGATCTGATACCGCTCACAATATGACTGTGTTTAATTATGCATAAAATGTATCACTCGATGGTTGGCGTGTGAACTTATCACAGAAAAATTCTCTAAAAACCCAAAATATGGGACCAACAGGGGGACAGATGAGGTGCCCCCCTCCCTCCTATTGCTCATTATACAATAGGAGGAGGACACCTCACCTATCCCCACTGTTAGTCTCATATTTTGGATCCCTGTAACAAAGCTCTTTATCACACGACATAGCTCCTGTTTCAAACTTGATTCACTGGCAAACCAATTTTAAATATTTTCATTAAAAAAAACCTTGAATTGAGCATTTCGCTTCATTTATTTCTTTTCATTGTTTTCATGAACCACAACAACGACAAAGACATTTCGTCATATACACAAAGCACAAACCGTAAGCTGAAATAACTCTGCGCGGTCAGTAAGAAAGCCCCAATATCCTGCTCTCATGAAAAGGCATGAGCCACATTACACCTTCCCCTCGTTATTTTTGTAATCAATTTACATCGATCTGATACCGCTCACAATATGACTGTGTTTAATTATGCATAAAATGTATCACTCGATGGTTGGCGTGTGAACTTATCACAGAAAAATTCTCTAAAAACCCAAAATATGGGACCAACAGGGGGACAGATGAGGTGCCCCCCTCCCTCCTATTGCTCATTATACAATAGGAGGAGGACACCTCACCTATCCCCACTGTTAGTCTCATATTTTGGATCCCTGTAACAAAGCTCTTTATCACACGACATAGCTCCTGTTTCAAACTTGATTCACTGGCAAACCAATTTTAAATATTTTCATTAAAAAAACCTTGAATTGAGCATTTCGCTTCATTTATTTCTTTTCATTGTTTTCATGAACCACAACAACGACAAAGACATTTCGTCATATACACAAAGCACAAACCGTAAGCTGAAATAACTCTGCGCGGTCAGTAAGAAAGCCCCAATATCCTGCTCTCATGAAAAGGCATGAGCCACATTACACCTTCCCCTCGTTATTTTTGTAATCAATTTACATCGATCTGATACCGCTCACAATATGACTGTGTTTAATTATGCATAAAATGTATCACTCGATGGTTGGCGTGTGAACTTATCACAGAAAAATTCTCTAAAAACCCAAAATATGGGACCAACAGGGGGACAGATGAGGTGCCCCCCTCCCTCCTATTGCTCATTATACAATAGGAGGAGGACACCTCACCTATCCCCACTGTTAGTCTCATATTTTGGATCCCTGTAACAAAGCTCTTTATCACACGACATAGCTCCTGTTTCAAACTTGATTCACTGGCAAACCAATTTTAAATATTTTCATTAAAAAAACCTTGAATTGAGCATTTCGCTTCATTTATTTCTTTTCATTGTTTTCATGAACCACAACAACGACAAAGACATTTCGTCATATACACAAAGCACAAACCGTAAGCTGAAATAACTCTGCGCGGTCAGTAAGAAAGCCCCAATATCCTGCTCTCATGAAAAGGCATGAGCCACATTACACCTTCCCCTCGTTATTTTTGTAATCAATTTACATCGATCTGATACCGCTCACAATATGACTGTGTTTAATTATGCATAAAATGTATCACTCGATGGTTGGCGTGTGAACTTATCACAGAAAAATTCTCTAAAAACCCAAAATATGGGACCAACAGGGGGACAGATGAGGTGCCCCCCTCCCTCCTATTGCTCATTATACAATAGGAGGAGGACACCTCACCTATCCCCACTGTTAGTCTCATATTTTGGATCCCTGTAACAAAGCTCTTTATCACACGACATAGCTCCTGTTTCAAACTTGATTCACTGGCAAACCAATTTTAAATATTTTCATTAAAAAAACCTTGAATTGAGCATTTCGCTTCATTTATTTCTTTTCATTGTTTTCATGAACCACAACAACGACAAAGACATTTCGTCATATACACAAAGCACAAACCGTAAGCTGAAATAACTCTGCGCGGTCAGTAAGAAAGCCCCAATATCCTGCTCTCATGAAAAGGCATGAGCCACATTACACCTTCCCCTCGTTATTTTTGTAATCAATTTACATCGATCTGATACCGCTCACAATATGACTGTGTTTAATTATGCATAAAATGTATCACTCGATGGTTGGCGTGTGAACTTATCACAGAAAAATTCTCTAAAAACCCAAAATATGGGACCAACAGGGGGACAGATGAGGTGCCCCCCTCCCTCCTATTGCTCATTATACAATAGGAGGAGGACACCTCACCTATCCCCACTGTTAGTCTCATATTTTGGATCCCTGTAACAAAGCTCTTTATCACACGACATAGCTCCTGTTTCAAACTTGATTCACTGGCAAACCAATTTTAAATATTTTCATTAAAAAAACCTTGAATTGAGCATTTCGCTTCATTTATTTCTTTTCATTGTTTTCATGAACCACAACAACGACAAAGACATTTCGTCATATACACAAAGCACAAACCGTAAGCTGAAATAACTCTGCGCGGTCAGTAAGAAAGCCCCAATATCCTGCTCTCATGAAAAGGCATGAGCCACATTACACCTTCCCCTCGTTATTTTTGTAATCAATTTACATCGATCTGATACCGCTCACAATATGACTGTGTTTAATTATGCATAAAATGTATCACTCGATGGTTGGCGTGTGAACTTATCACAGAAAAATTCTCTAAAAACCCAAAATATGGGACCAACAGGGGGACAGATGAGGTGCCCCCCTCCCTCCTATTGCTCATTATACAATAGGAGGAGGACACCTCACATGTCCCCACTGTTAGTCTCATATTTTGGATCCCTATAACAAAGCTCTTTATCACACGACATAGCTCCTGTTTCAAACTTGATTCACTGGCAAACCAATTTTAAATATTTTCATTAAAAAAACCTTGAATTGAGCATTTCGCTTCATTTATTTCTTTTCATTGTTTTCATGAACCACAACAACGACAAAGACATTTCGTCATATACACAAAGCACAAACCGTAAGCTGAAATAACTCTGCGCGGTCAGTAAGAAAGCCCCAATATCCTGCTCTCATGAAAAGGCATGAGCCACATTACACCTTCCCCTCGTTATTTTTGTAATCAATTTACATCGATCTGATACCGCTCACAATATGACTGTGTTTAATTATGCATAAAATGTATCACTCGATGGTTGGCGTGTGAACTTATCACAGAAAAATTCTCTAAAAACCCAAAATATGGGACCAACAGGGGGACAGATGAGGTGCCCCCCTCCCTCCTATTGCTCATTATACAATAGGAGGAGGACACCTCACCTATCCCCACTGTTAGTCTCATATTTTGGATCCCTGTAACAAAGCTCTTTATCACACGACATAGCTCCTGTTTCAAACTTGATTCACTGGCAAACCAATTTTAAATATTTTCATTAAAAAAACCTTGAATTGAGCATTCCGCTTCATTTATTTCTTTTCATTGTTTTCATGAACCACAACAACGACAAAGACATTTCGTCATATACACAAAGCACAAACCGTAAGCTGAAATAACTCTGCGCGGTCAGTAAGAAAGCCCCAATATCCTGCTCTCATGAAAAGGCATGAGCCACATTACACCTTCCCCTCGTTATTTTTGTAATCAATTTACATCGATCTGATACCGCTCACAATATGACTGTGTTTAATTATGCATAAAATGTATCACTCGATGGTTGGCGTGTGAACTTATCACAGAAAAATTCTCTAAAAACCTAAAATATGGGACCAACAGGGGGACAGATGAGGTGCCCCCCTCCCTCCTATTGCTCATTATACAATAGGAGGAGGACACCTCACATATCCCCACTGTTAGTCTCATATTTTGGATCCCTGTAACAAAGCTCTTTATCACACGACATAGCTCCTGTTTCAAACTTGTTTCAAACTTGATTCACTGACAAACCAATTTTAAATATTTTCATTAAAAAAAACCTTGAATTGAGCATTTCGCTTCATTTATTTCTTTTCATTGTTTTCATGAACCACAACAACAAAGACATTTCGTCATATACACAAAGCACAAACCCTAAGCTGAAATAACTCTGCGCGGTCAGTAAGAAAGCCCCAATGTCCTGCTCTCATGAAAAAGCACGAGCCACATTATAGCGGTCTGAAATAAAGAATGACAAAAAAGAAGATCCAAAGATTAAAAAGCAACCAAAATTATCTTATAATATATTTTTTTGGCTGTTCTACAGAATGAACTTGGAAAAAAAAAAACAAGCGCAATGATGTATCAGTTGTATCAACTATGAAGCAGAAAAATTATATATAAGAAAGTGAACTTCGTTCAGCTGATTAACTTTTCGAAAACAACAAACGTCGGCATAAAAGGCTTACTAAGATTATTAGACCAACAGCTATAACTTGGATTGTGGGATATCACACGTTCAGGATTAGACAATGACCTTTGTTTAAATTTAAAAAAAAAAGAAGAAGGGCTTCAACCACCGAACACCATTACTTCTTAGATTTTTTGAAGATATTTTCTACACTCCCAGACATTTATACACATCTTCATTTGCAAAATACTGCATAACAACGCAGGTTGCAAAATGCGGAAAATAAGCCTTAATCAACCCCAGCTGATTTTCCTTCAAAGTTCTGCTGCTATAGCTTCAAACAGAAAACAATATGATTCGGATATTCTCCTCGGCGTTCTCATTACTTACCTCATTCTCTTCACTTAGAGACCCTTGGTATACACAAAGTCCTATATCAATCATGCTTCTAGCTTGTCAGTTTATCATATAATCATGCAACGTGCAGTAAAACCAAAAAATCAGAGCTCACTAGGGATCAGAATTCGACTAATGTACAAAGTATCTGTAACCAACTGTTCAAACTTATGCTGAAGTGCGAGGGGGCAAATGCGAAGAAAAAAGAATCACTTTTGTGACTGGAATCCTGGTTAAATAAATACAAAAACATAAAACTACAAAATCATTCTTACGCGCAAAAGCTAGCAAATAAATAACAATAGATCAATGCATTATACTTTTAGAGATGAATCTCTTTAAGAAACATAATGCAATGCAACTTATACCACCCTGAGAGTTTTGACGGCTCAGTTAATAAAGGTTTTAGTAAAACAAAGGGCTCATAACCCAGCAAGGCAGCCTTCCGCAAATCCCTGAAGAAATAAGATCAAATGAGAAAACAAAAACAGCAGAACATATTACAAAAAAAAAAAGCAGGATCCCCACTAGATACCCATTCATCTTTACTAGCCCAAACAAAAGCGGTTCAAAGAATAGTCTTAAAAGTAAGTTTTAACACAATGCACAGAGAGGTAAGTTTTAACACAATGCACAGAGAGGTCTTCAGAACAATAAATTTTAATAAGCAACTTTAAGCATCAATACTGGATGTACGCATAAATATGCTCATATACTAGAGCGAACTACTCATAGAATATTTTGCGTAGATAGGAAATTAATATTCTCATACATGTACATGAATATGGACAAACAGAACTTATAAATAGGTTTTACATAATAGCATAAACATTGTGACCAACGAACCTCTGCCTCCTTTACACTTTGACTCTCACCCAACAAATCACTTGCAATTTCTTTTGCAATATATACTACTACTCCTTTGAATCTTTCACATATATTTCCTGAGATTTTTGCATTCAACTCACAACCATGACCCATTTATCATAACTCAAACCAACAATTACATATTTGCTCTTGCAGTACAAGGTATCATAGAAAAGAGAACTACCTTGTCTGGGTTAAACAAGAGCATTATCAATGCATCTTCAACTACGACATCCAATTGCTTTGATCTTGGGCTGGTTTGATTCGTTGCAACAAGCCCCATCATCTCATCAACAGCTATAACAATACAGAAAAAAGATGCCCCTATTTTGAAGCATCGAAAAAATTCCATATTTGATTTTTGTATAAATATATAGTTCCTGTTGGGAGTTCCTTTTTACAGAGGAAAGAAAACCTCTCCCTCAAGACACTACTTTTCTTATGAAAATCTTTCAGCTTGGTTGAACTCCTGACCAACCATCAATCGTGTACATTACAGTTTTCACAAGACTCACTAATTTGCCTAGGAAATTCAACATAGCTGTAGGTCACGTCCTCATTCACTACCAATTATTTGTGTGCGTGCAAGTAATAAAGGTGGGTGGCATAGTGCATGCATGCGTGCCTGAACAATAAATCTTACGCATCACACATGAATCTTAGCTCTCAATAAATGAATCCCCTCATGTTCTTATGAAAAGTGTGCATTATTGTCATCCCAAAAAGGGTTGAAAATGGGCGTGATCTCTACCAATTCGAAGGCTCTCATGTCTGTAATGACTGCAAAATGCTTGAACTTTTTAAAAAGAAAATGAATGTGGAATCATGTTCCATCAATATTGAAACAACCATTTCACACCAATGCAATGCATTCTATATGTAGACGTTTCAGAAAATAAAGCATATAACTTATAAGTAACTGAATGATCTACAATAAGTTATGGATGACAGACAACACATAGTAAGTTCCCCAAGCATATTCCACTTACTAATGGTTTTAGGCTTTTAGCACCAATCATAGTAGGCTCATGTAGAAACCACAGCAACTTTTGCTCAAATCTTCAGACACATAAGGCTTAGACTCAATTACCAAATGCACTACAAACTTTTTTAATCCCTACATTGATTCCCAGTAACCTAATCAGTTATCCACAACTAGCAAGATACTTGTACAGATAATCCAAAAAATGTTCACAAAACTCAGCAATGCTCAGTATGTTCTATGAATTGAGTAATGGGCTACTACATGTTACAATCTTGTGAAACCTCCAGCATAAAAACTTAAAACTGATTATGGACGTATTAGCTTCTAGACACTTCACTCTGTTATAACCTCAAGCAGAAACTACCAGGCCTACGAGTGTGCTTGAGAAACAAAACATTGTACACAAACCTTTCATTAGATTAATTAATCACCAAAGCACAAGTTCAAAGACTAGATTACAAGAACAATATGGACCAACACAAATATCATGGCTGTGACATAAACCTATGTTGAATATGTCCAGAGCTTTATTTTCAATTAGTAAATACTAAAATCCTAAAAATATCTGCACCCCCACAACATCATCACCCCAGCCAATTATCACATCTTCCTCCATCTTCCAAACTTTTCTAGTGTAGAAGAAGATGGCGGACATCACAATTATACTTTTAGATTATCCAAAGCCCCCCTCTTATCATAACTTCCTCGGGAATTAGCACTAATCAATCAATAGATGACGATCGAGAGCACTAATAAATCAACAATGGATGGAGGGAGTTTTTGGAGGGTTTTTTTTTTTTTTTGTTTTTGGGGTGGGGGGGGGGGGGGCGCGGCGGCTCTTGGGAGGGAGTGGAGTAGCGGAGGTCGAAGAGTTAACACCAAATTTACAGCTAGTCAACAGTACTTCGATATCTTTCATGATGACATGACCCATAGAAAACACCAACTAACAGGAAAAGGATTAAATAATGATGAAGCTTTTAAAAGTGGAAAGTGTAATATACGATTAGTGCATGCAACCTGCGCTAGGCTGTAACCTGATCTTAGTCTGGTACCTAACCCTATCATTAGCGAGAACTCAACTGATGATTTTTTCCTTTCTGCTCCCTCTGTTAAATTGCCATTACTTTTTTTACCCCACTGCTTCTGCAGTTCACCAAATAAATCTAGTTTAATACAACATCACTAAGATGATCTCTACAAGCACTAGGGTATATGAACCAATGAATAAAACATGATTTACTATTTCTACCCTCTTGCAGACTTTTCATTACTTAATGCCAGACAGATATCCTCGAACTGCATGTCATACAAATTTATATCACCGCTTATTGTTACCTAATACAGATGATAGCCCCAAATATATAGTAGTGACTCAGCTTAACATGTGATATTTTTAGTAATATCTCATAGCTCTCTTCTGAGAAAACAAACTTAAAAAGCAAATCCGCAGCAGCTAGCTTAATGCCAGTCACTAGAGATCAGAATTCCACTAATGTACAAAGCATCTGTAACCAACTGTTCAAACATGTGCTGAAGTACAAGGAAAAAAATACGAGGAAAAAAGAATCACTGTTGTGACTGGAATCCTCCTCAAACAAATACAGAAACACAAAACTACAAAATCATTCTTATCACGCAAAAGCTAGCAAATAAATAACAAGAAATTACACTTTTTAGAGATGGATCTCTTTTAGAAACATAATGCAATACAACTTACACCACCCTGAAGTTTTGACGGCACGGTTAATAAAGGTTTTAGTAAACAAGAGTTCATAACCCAGCCAGGCAGCCTTCAGCAAATCCCTGAAGAAATAAGATCCAAAAAAACAAAAATCTCTACACAAGCTGCTTATCCACCTTCACACCCAAACAAAAGATGTTCAGAGTAGCCTTAAAAGTAAGTTTTAACATAATGCCCAGAGAGATTGAGATCTTCAGAACAATAAATTTTAAATTTAAATGCAAATTTAAGCATCAATACTGTATGTACATATAAAGATGCTCATGTAATAGAGCGAACTACACATGGGATATTTTGCGTAGATAGGAATTTAAAATTCTCATACATGTACATGAATATGGACTAAGAGAACTTATAAACAGGTTGTAGATAATAACAAGGCAGGAACGGTTAGGAGAAAGATGGAGAAAGATGGATCATCCACAACAAGTACTTCTACAATACCAGGTATGGACGGACACGTGTCCAGCTGTGTTGGACATACCATGATCTTGTTGTGAGAAGTATGCTATGCATCGTAGGTATTTAAGATTTACGTCCATGTTCTTACTTGCATAAAATGACGGTATCATTATCTTAAAATTCAACTCTAACACAATTTTGCAATAAACTACAACATCACCATATCATAAAGTTGTTCTTGGGTGACTTTCCACCGGAATAAAACTTCTTACCATGTCACCACATAGTGATAGTGATAGCTCAACAATCTGATTGACGAAACATTAGAAAGGGTCATTAACCTAAATGTACGTCAATCCTGAAGTGCAGACTGAATCCAGTAGACATTTAAAGAGTACTGAGTACACATGACTAGTTCGCAGCCTACAGGCACCAAGTCCAGTCAAATAACTGATATTTACTTCCAGTAACTACTTACAATATAAATGGATTCCCTCGTAAAAGACCTTTAACTGAATTTATAAAATGAAACATTAATCACAAAAACTAGTTGTATCATGAAGTGAGGTTTGAGTAATCTGACAAAAATAAATTGTGAAACATATCTGATTCAACTAATAATAGCTAATGAACAGAATTCAAACATCTGATAGGATAACCAAGTTCTCCGATAGCAGCGATAGTCCACTAAAGAAACAACAAGTAAATTAGACAATATCTTCTAATACTCTTCGTATAACTGTCCAACTATAAACGTTCCTAGAAAGAAAACAGTCCAAAATATTTTTGAAATAGCGTATGACATGTTTACAGAGACATCAAGTTTAAAGATTCTAGAACTACAGTGTACAAATGTATGAATTAGATCATAAGGTATGCACAAAGATCTTGTAAACATTTATAATATCAAACTTCACTCCACAAAATTTTAATATAGAGATTAATCCGCGAGAAGAAATAAAACGACAATGTAAAGTAGAAAAACAATAATGTAAAACTAAAGGAAGAAATGGTTATCACATCTATCAACAACAAAACTATAAATATCATAGCAACAATTACTGATAACCTAAGATGTATGGTTACCTATACAGGTACATGTGTGGATACAGGTACGGGACACAGAAAATTTGTAAAACATAGGGTACGGGGTTACGACTAACACACATGCGCTGAAATAATAGCTTTGAGTTAGATAGGCAAATGACCCCTTGAAATTGCAGTTCTTAAATGAATATGGACTGAAACAAACCCAACGTTTGTTCAACAAGTTTCAAAAGTGGACGTGTAGTATATATGTCGAGCGTCCATGAAGTGTATGGCAAGCGTTTTAAATTAAAACATGTATTGTATAATTGAGTACGTGTCTGAATAAATGCATGCATAAAATTAAGGACTGTCCATGAAGTGTAGAGGTACGGGACATGTTGCATACAGGTGCATCTTCATGATTGAAGTACCCACGCAACATAGCTTGTAACAGACTCAATGATTTAGTACCAAGTTACTAAAAGCGTACCCACCGTACACTAAGTTACCTAAAAATGTTACACAAATAAGTTGCAATAATCTTATAACAGAAACATGTCAACCATACATTAGCACCTAAAAGCGCAAAACACTTCTAGTGTTATTCACCTGCATACCAAATAATCTTGAAAATCCTCAATTAGCTAACTTGTGTTTGACGTCATTGGAGAAAGTCAATAAAATCTATCTTGCAAGAAATAAGATTAAATCACCGTATTTCAATTTTGAACATTTTTAGCAGTTCTGAGCGCAATAATCGACGTAACTCACCTTGTCATTTAACATCACAAATAAAAGAGCAAGGAGCAGATGATCTTAACATGGCTACTTAAGTGAGGTGGTCCAATAAGGCAACAGAAGTTTATTCATCATGAGAGTATAGGACAATCAACTACAGGGGTAAACCACAAAATGTACATTATCAAAAATCCACAAAAGCCCATGATATAGCGCTCCACACTACTTGAAGTGATCTCTGTATCCTGTTGATTTCATTGTCATTATCGAAAAGTTACTGATTCAAGCTTGACCTCAGAAAAGAATGCATTCATTTTAGACCAATATTCAAGATCATCTGTATATACATTTTGTAAGAGGATTCAGAATTATCTTCTCAGAATGAATAGATAACTCACACTGCATCAGGACCTACCTAACATCAGACAAGTTTCAAAAGCAGCATGAAACTCAATCAGCACATTCAAACTACAGAGGCGGTATTTTACACCAAATACTCACATTTAAGAACCATACCAGCATTAAATAAATTATTTGGTAACAACATTGGAAGTCATACCCATCACTCTTCTGATCCTTTGGCTTTAACGACAGCCTTGATTGGCAAAATGTAAATTCATCTTACATAAGCTTTAAGATTATTAGTTTCTAACAACTGCATGAGAAGCTTTCTATTTACAGATTTCAACTTCACTTCCGCCATTTGATAACTCAAATTCACACATCTTGAGAAGAACAAATACCACATCCATGCTATCGAGAAAATTTATTTTTCTAAAAGCAAAAGATCAATTCTATCAAAAGTCATCTAGCACTCCTGCAAAGCATTAAAGATCATCTCTTGACCAAACATCAATGCTATCAATCTGATATGTCAAGTATATAATGCATCAGTAATCCCTTTTTCACTTAAGACCACAAGTTAGTAGCCATGATCCATTTTCAAACAAGGTTCAGCAAAGCAAAGCATATTTTCATAACCCATATGTGCTTCGAAATGTTCATCAGACTCTATTATTTATTGAGCACCATCATATTCAGCAATATAATATCTTCAAAGTCATCAAGAAACCCATCGTACCTTTTAGTTTTTAGGGCATTGAAGATCAACAATCACCAAAACCAGGAATACTAACAAACAGAAGCACAGATCTATCTCCAAGCTGACTTCAAGAGTCCATAATTCTTCCCTTTACTTAAATATAGACTGCAAATTCCTATTTTGTCTATCATAGAAAAGGCTAATAGCCACATCTTGCATACAAATAATAAGCCTATAGCTAAGTTACCCAATAGCATGTAACCAAATACCACACTCCAAAGCTAGGAAAAAGTTCATGATGATAACCAATTTAAGATGATGAGTAAAAGGACGAGGAAATTTTTCTTCCCAAAAGCAAGCCTTTTCTCCTGCAACATTGCATCATGCCTGCAGATTTACCACCAAGTAACAAAACAATTTTAAAATGAGAATATTCCATATAAGGTGTCTAAAGCTAAATTTTAAGGCAACCAATTGACTGAAAATCGACATCTTGGCGTAGTTAAGAACTGATTTAACATACCATCTAATAATAGTATCCACTCCCAGAGGGTTCGCCGCCATAAAGAGACGAGTATGTGCTACCACCATACTGCAACGTGCAAAATCATGAAACAGAGGACACAGAGAAAAGAACAGGATAAAAAACTTGAATTTAATAAGTATCCATCAGACACTCACATCTGAGCCGTAATAATCATTAGAATAGAGACCAGTCATCCCCAGAGAATCTACAGACGAAAAAGCTATTTTAGGGGGATGCTTGGACAAAATGCTAATGCTAAATCTAATAAAGAGTGAAAATGTTAGATAAATGAACCAAGGTGGAACGGAAATATTCTAAACCTCGGTAACGAGCTCTGCCAATCATAGGATCAGGGTGATCATAACGAGGACGCATTCTGCTCCCAGGCTCCCAGTAACCAGGATCATGCTCCTAGAGGACAACAAAGTGGTGTTATATTTTATTATGCAGCACATAAATGCATGAAATGATCATAAAATAGAACATTACTCACCATCATTGAAAATGGTCGTTTGATGCCCTGCCCACCACCACCATAAAAGTAAGGATCTTCAGCAATGTGCCTGGGACCAAAAGGTCCGCCAAAATCTTGTTCTGGAGGAAATGGCTGCCTCTGAATAGGGAAAGCTCTCCCGCGTCCTCTATCAAAACCTCCACGTCTTGCTGATGTAGGGATTCTTCTACCGCCTGTTAACAGCAAATCAACACAAAACTATGCAAACAAATTGAGAAGAGAAGTTTCTTTAAGATAGTGTGTAGCTACCTCGAGCCCCAAAAGGTCTCCAACCACCACGAAAGTCAGAATATGAGTCATCAAAATCTGCATCTGCCACAAATGGAAATCGACCACGACCACGGCCACGTGGAATGAAGCCTCTCCCACCCTGAAAACCTGCCCTGTGGGAGGGAAACCTGCCCCTACCAAATCCTCTACCTGCCAATATGAATGAGAATAACAAGAAAAAAATAAAAAAGATGAAAAAAATCACTAGATGTACCACAAGTATGAACTTGTCACCTCTTGGGCGAACTATACTTACCAAACCTTGGATAGCCTCCAAATCCAGAATGTCCAATACGAAACCCGCCGCTCATTCCACCTTTCACAGCTTGAGTTTTGGGCAATGGATTAGCAAGTCTGGCTCTGGCTTTCGTCTGAAAGAATGCAACGGGTGATTAAAAAGTAGAAAAACTAAACTTGAGGAAAACCCAAAAAAAACCTTATGCAAATTCAATTGCTTTTCCCAGAAGACGGATCCAGAAGTATGAAATCATACAAACAAAATCCTCAAAAATGCCCAGAGAACGGGGAGTCTACAAATCACAGCCATCATATTATGTCTATCTTATGTTCTAAGACTTTTCTCGTTAGCCACACCGTTTAATACATCTTTGAAATACTATCAGCAATACTGAAAAAATATGCAGAGCAGTAGTTGTTAATGGGCCAAGCAAAAGGGTATTAGTAGATGTCAGATATGTCAATTCTATAACTAGGGATATGTTCACAGAAATCCATGAAGACAGAAGACCAAAGGCAAAGACAAAGATATATCCATTTACAATTTAAATATTATTTTCAAAAACAAGAAAGGTGAGAAGAAACCCAACGAAGATAAAAAGTGCAAGCTGCAAAGTAAAATAGGAACAACCATGTGCAATATTTTTTGAGAGATTTCTGAATAAAGTTTTTTTTTAATTTTGGTTCCAGCGTAAAAAAGTATGGAAGTGTCCATAACCACTACAGACACAACAATCTATAATTCCCTGTGTGCACTGAGGAGCATATAATACAAGTATTAGATTAAATGAGTGTTCAATAACGAGAAATGAACATTAAATACTCAACCAACTAACAGAAAAATGATCCTGATTCTACAAAAATATGCAACCTTTTAATCCAACATGAAGTAAAAGAATAATAATGAAAATTCAATTAAAATATATCAAATTATGATAGGATAAGGTTTACAAGACTCTGAATGGTCGTAGAAGTTGAAGAGAGATGAAATTGTAACAATTACGAATGTTTGGAATGTTAGATTGCTCGTTGGGTGATATCCAATACAATTGGAACTAAAGAAAATTCGTTCACTCTTTTTTGCTCCGTTTATTTTTAAATTCTTTGCAAGTTTCAATAGGTTTCCTCAGAAACATTAAAACTATCAAAGCACATATGAAGATAGTCAACTGGACACAACTGTGTATCAGTATAAACTTGATGAAACCAAATAATATGTGCAGTTTCGGATCAATCCTCATTGAAACCGGATAAAACCTCCAGACCTATGTTCCTAACTAAAAATGCATTTAACTTGATGAGCGACTGGGAGTCTAGAACACAATACGCGCAAGCTAACTCCACCATGTGAATGACATGACACATATAAAAGACACTGAAAAGCTTCTGATATGGATAAAATCACTCTCATGGTAAACATAAGAACTAGTCTTTTTCTGTTTCCAACCACCTAAGTCTTTGACTTGATTCTGGTGATTAATTATATACCATCCAGCATTAGGATAAATAAGGTTCGAAAAGTTGGATAGATATCATTACCAGATAAACTGAAAACAAGTGGATATGATGACACTATACCATTAAAGAGCGAAAACCGATAATGTAACAGCATTAGAAGAAAATATCAGAAGAAAATATCAGCAAGTATGCTTAACCACATAGAAACAAGAAATGGGTAATAACTAAAAAGGTATAATTAGGCAGAAAGGTGCAAAAATTGCCTTTGATTTCCCATCATCTCCCAACTCTGTGTCATTCACAGCTTCAATACAAGCAAGAGCTGCTTCACGAGTAGTGAAGTTGACAAACCCAAAATCCTTCCTTTTTGCAGTCGACATGTTGCGTGCAAGCACAACACGCTCAATCTCCCCATAACTTTTGAACTGCTCCTTCACTCGATCTTCATCCCAATATTGGGGCAACCCATCGACAAAAACTGACTTGACCTGCATCAATGACAAACAAAATAACTAATAAAGCTATACTATCAAACCAGAATAACAGAAGGAGAGGGGTGATTGATTAAAATCAACGCATTCCTACCTGAGCCATAACTTCTGGGTCTGGTTCACGTAATGGTTCGGCAAAAGCCACTTTCGCGGTCCTATCAGGATGACCAAAAATAACATCTGGCTTCTGGAGCCTCTTGAAGGCGACCGTAGCATCAGCATGGCAAGGGAATTCGAGAAAAGCAAAACCACGACTCAAACCCTCATTCTGAGTGTCTGGAACTAAAGTAATGCTCACAACAGTATCTATGTCGTAATCTTTTAGCTTCCGCTTGATCTGAAATCACACAAAATATATGTTAGAAAATACCAACTCCAACACAAATTCACTGTGTTTAGGTTAGGAGATGATTACAGCTTCTTTTGTCCATGTATTGCAGATATTGCCTAAGAAGAGTGTGTCATTGTCCTCACTAGGAGCAATACCACAGCGTTTGCCTCGTATCTGAGAACGAAATACAACTTCCAGTTTAACAATCTAATAAAATAAATATAATACACACAGAGAGAGAGATAATGTGAACTAGAAGCAATAATGGAAGCCATGATCCTGTAATCATGGTATTTATTCACAACAAGTTGTAATAAAAGTAGATAGTTTAAGTCGTAAAGATTTACCGGCTTCCATATAGTCCAAAATCCAAATTGTCACACAATAAGATACCAAGTGGTAAAACAAAGTAAGTGAAGTCGTACTAAATGAGCTCAGATGATTAAAATCATGGCATAATAATAGATCACAGAGCATGAACTTTCATCAATTAATGGTTTGCTTCTAACCTCTTCCACACTTTTTGGTCAGCTCTCAAGCAAATTCTATCAGCACAAAAGAATTGACTACAATTTCATGAATCTATGCCAAATTTTCATGATCAATTGCTAAATGATCTATATGTGAAAGACACTATGTTATACTTCTAGGATATGCAAACTTATAGGACATGCAATCATCCTATCACATCTCACAGCTATCATTAAAGTCCATCAAAATGCACCCAGCAAAGAAGCATGAATCTAGACCAATACAGAGCTAGAAAAAAAAAATGTCTAAATTTTTTACAAATTACAAGCAATAATCAGTACCCTAAAACAACTGCTGGTCCCAACTCCCAAAACCCTAATGAATAAAGCTTATCTTTTTCTATGGGCAAGAAAGAGTAAAGTAGAAGGACATAAATTAAAACAAAACATCTAGAAATATGCCCCTACAACTAAATAACTAGGAACTAAGTTGTATCTCACCGTAGGGTTCTTCAAGTCAGAGAGAGCCTTAGCCGCCTGCTCCTTTGTTGCATACTTGACAAAAGCAAACCCCTTATTCTTATTGGTCACGAAATCCTTCAGGATCCGCACTTCAACCACCTCCCCAACCTTCTCGAATTCCTTCTTCACATCCTCCTCGGTGGCATCCCTATCCAATCCCCCAACAAATATCTCCCGCTCTTTCTTGATCTTTCTTGCCTTTGCCATGTCAGAAATCTCCATCTCCACGTCAACTTCAACCCCTGCATCTTCTTGAGCCTGATCTTCATCTTGATGCTCAACTTCTAACTCCTCTCCTTCTGCTACTTCTTCCCCTTCTCTAATCTCACCTGCCAGCTCTTCATTGCCGGGATCCGCAGAACCCCCCTGCTCTGCAGCAGGAGCAGGAGCTGGAGCACCTTCCTCCATTGGTTCCTCTTCTGGATCTTCTTCTTGGTTGACATCATTAGTTTCTGGGGCTTCTTCCTCTACACTGGAGCCAGCGTCGGGTTTTGTCTCTACTGCCTCTTCTTTCTTCTCTTCCTCTTCTTCAACCTCCTCTTCTTTCTCTTCGGTTTTTCCTTCAGGTTGTACAACTGAAGGAGATTCTACTTGAATTTGATCCACTTTCGAGGAATTACTCTTCTTAGCAGCAGCTGCTGCTGCTTTGGCAGCCAAAGGCGACTTCTTTGCACCGGGCCTCTTCTCGAGGGCGCTTTTGCGGGCTTCTTGCTACCTCCGCTGAACTCGGCGGTGCGCACTACAGTCTCATACCGCTTCAACTGTTGCGATCGACACAGTAAGCTCAAACACCTCAGGGGCATTGCAAGATTGGTAATTGGGTTTGTTTTTTTTTAAAAAGAAAATTTGCTTTTTGACCTTGCAGGCTCGGGAATTTGGAGTGGCGAAACTGGGGGAGTCGGAGCGCTCTTTGAAGGCGGATTAGCTTACCCTTGGTCGCCTCTCGTGGGCTTTGGGTGTGGATTTGGAGTGCGGTTGTCATGGTGTTTTTTCGATCGGCCCGAGGCGGGCGGCGGCTGCTTTCTTTTGTGGTGCCGTTCTCTTCGCGGGCCCAGATTTGGGTGTAGTGGGGGTTCTCGTCCTCATGATTCACGAACTCGAAGAAACCCTAACAGTATCAAACGAAAGAGAGAGCAGAGTTCGAGAGAGAGATTGATCGAACCTGAAAATTTTCTTTTTCGAGAGATGAGGGACGAAAAGAATGGAAATTTTCTTTTTCGAGAGAACGAAGTGTTTCTGCCCCGCTTTGGGTGCGTTATTAGGGTTAAGATGTTACGCGGCTTAAATGCGCATCAAAAGCGTTTTTTTAATCAATTAGGACGATCGTCCAGATTACCTGCTGCCAGATGCGATACGGCCGCTTTGTTCGGCATGGAGGGAGGGGGGGGGGCGGGGGGGGTTAAGGGCGGAGTAAGGAGAAGCGGAAGGTAAAGGCACATGCTGTACATAATTGCGTCGGGGATACTTTAGATAATTAACTTCCTCATCATAGTTTAGCTTAGTTTAGCTTATAGCTTAGTTTAGCTTATGGGTTGTTTGGTAGGCTGCAACTAAAGGCTTTGCAACTAGAGTTGCATGCAACTGGGCTATTTTAGGCCAGTTGCAGTTGCGTTGCAGTTACAACTGGTTGGTTCACTGCAACTAACATGTTACGGTTGCAACTAGAGTTGCAAATTGGGCCTCACTTATAGTATTTGAGTTGCAGCAAAATCGGTTGCAGTTCACACTTGCAAGACAAAAGCCTTTTAAGTTGCAACCGCAGTTGCAAACTTACCCATCCCCAACCTCAAACCTCCCGACTCTCTCAGTTCCCCTTTTCATTCTCTCTCTCACGAGCATCCACTTCTAAATCGAATCTCAACTTTTTCACAGAGAATTAATATCAAAATCGTACCTTGGGTCTCCCGTGCTTCGCGTTTCAGATCGGATCTCGAAGATTTCTGTTGGAGAAGACTTGGCCTCTGCGAGATTCATTCTCTATAGCTAAGGAATCAATAGATTTTGGCTGGATTTGAAGTAGATCTCTATAAATTTGAGGGAAAACTTGGGTCTGAGCATCAATTGTAAAACCCCAAAAATTTGAATATTATGTAAATAATAATAATAATAATGTTATATGGGAAAAATATAATATATTTTGATATTTGAGTATGATAGGAATTGATTTTAGATCAATTCAATGTATATTTGTGAATATGAGTGCAAATGCACAAAACATGAACAAAGAAAAATCTGGAAAAATGACCAGTTAAGAATTTATATAATTTACACACCGATGAAGTTTGAATATAAAAAACTCAAAAGACCAAAATTGTAGAACTCTTCAACAGATTTTCAACAAATCTTAAATCATCTCATTCCAAGGTCGGATGAGAAAGTTACAGCCAAAATACCGAATGTTATTTTCCTAATCAGACTAGGTTTCCTGGTTCGGATCAAACGGATTTATTTCGGGTTTGCGCATATGTGTGTGTGTGTGTGTGTGTGTGTGTTTTCATGAAAATTGTCATCTTTTCATCAGAGTTTCAAACTCTAGCAGCCCCTCTGTTGGACCCTAGAGGGGAGGTGATTAGGGTCTTAAGGCTAATAAAAATGCAATAAAAATTGAGACAAGCAACAAACCACAAAATGAACAACAGTAGAAATAGAGATAGAGTTAGGAATCGTTATCCTTGTGACGCGCGATGTGTTAACGAGGTTCGGTCCGCTGACCTACGTCTCCGCTCCCCACTCTCGAGGAGAAATCCACTACACAACCCGGTTTGGAAGCCGGAACTTCTTCTACACAACGATCTCCTCACGATCTCACAACTACACAGTTGATCTCTACTAGATCATACTCCTACACAATTGATCTTCACAAGATCAAGCTCTCAAACAGTAGCAATGGTGTAAAAGCTCTCTCTTTACAAGTCCCTATGGCAAAGAGAAAGATTAAACTGAAGCTGTGATGTGAACTTGAGAAAACACAGAAAACAGGTTTTGAAAATTTTGGCTCTCAGTAAACAAAATCTCTGGTTTTTCAAAAGCTTAGGGACTCTTGAGGAAGAAGGAGTGTATGAGTTTAAATAGGAGAAACCAGCTGTTTAAACCACGGTCGACCGCGACGGTCGACCGTGAAAGTTTCTGCTGCCCACTGACGAATGAACTCAAGCGCGGTCGACCGTGGCGGTCGACCGCTAACTGATACATACAGAAACACTGTTTTTGACTTCCTTAAAAAATATGTAAAATATTCATTTGACTTCTACAAATTGTGAAACTTTGTAAAATGTTTTTAACACTAAAAACAAATTGTTTGGAAAAAGAATTTTGCGAATAGGTCCTCATACTTATGAAAAATAGTATTTTGTGAAAACGCTCAAAACTATAAGTATGAAAACGTGTGTGTGATATCTCAATAGCTTCAATTTAAATCTAAACTACTTGCCTACATTAGCACTAGAGAGAAAATAAAAACTAGCTAATATCCTCATGTAGAATACAATTCTTTGAGTCTTGATATAGCTTGAGTTGGATGAAGCTTCTTATTGCATTTTGTGTTCTTGAATGAACGTTGCTTCATCACTATGCCTCCTCCTCCTTTGGATATCATCGTTGTAGTACATATTCCATCCAATCCTCCATACATGGCACTAACAAGCTTAATATACGTATTCACTACATTTTTACTCAACAAGCCATTAGTACCGATAATGGTGGTTGTTAAACATTATCAAAATATAAGGGCTAACAATCTCCCCATTTTTTTATGATGACAACCAACCATTATATAAGAGCAAAATAAATATGGCTTATAGATAGAAACTCCCCCGCTCTATGAGCTCCCCTTACTATGTCCACAAATGAGGAGATTTCTCTCCCCTTTGTCACCATCAAAATGGAGTAAAAAAAGTAAACAAAAGTGCATGTGGAATGCAACTAAACAAGCAAGCAAATAGAACTTTCACATAGTGCATAAGACCAAACCATTTCTTATGCGGCAAAAATCATCTTCACCAAGAGGCTTGGTAAATATATCTGCTAATTGAGATTTTGTGTCAACAAACACAAGGGATACATCTTGTCTCTCTACATGGTCGCGTAAGAAATGATGGCGCACATCAATATGCTTGGTTCTAGAATGCAAAACCAAAATTTTTGAAATATTAATAGCACTAGTGTTATCACAAAATATTTTTATATTTTAAAAATTCAAATTATAGTCAACTAAGCTTTGTTTCATCCACAAAACTTGGGCACAACATAAGCCGACGACAATATATTCCGCTTTTGTAGTGGACAATGTAATACAATTTTGTTTCTTGGAAGCTCAAGAAACAAGAGAATTTCCCAAGAATTGGCATGTTCCACTCGTACTCTTGCGATCTACCTTACATCTGGCAAAGTCGGCATCACAAAAACCATATAAATCAAAAGAGGTGCTTTTTGGATAAAATAAACCAAGATCAATAGTTCCATGCACATATTTAATAATTCTCTTAACGGTAATCAAATGAGATGCTTTAGGAGAAGCTTGAAAACGTGCACATGCACACACACTAAACATGATATCGGGTCTACTAGTGATGAGATAAAAAGACTACCTATCATATCTCGGTATAGTTTTTGGTCTACATCCTCACCATTATCATCCGCATCAAGCTTAACACTTGTACTCATGGGAGTTTGTGCATGTTTAGAATTCTCTAAATTGAATTTTTTTCACCAATTCTCTAGCATACTTGCTTTGAGAAATGAATATCTCATCCTTAGTTTGCTTGACTTGGAGCCCGAGAAAGAATATGAGCTCTAATACCAATTGTTGGACCCTAGAGGGGGGTGATTAGGGTCTTAAGGCTAATAAAAGTGCAATAAAAATTGAGACAAGCAACAAACCACAAAATGAACAGCAGTAGAAATAGAGATAGAGTAAGGAATCGTTATCCTTGTGACACGCGATGTGTTAACGAGGTTCGGTCCGGTAACCTACCTCCTCGATCCCCACTCTCGAGGAGAAATCCACTACACAACCCGGTTTGAAAGCCGGAACTTCTTCTATACAATAATCTCCTCACGATCTCACAACTACACAGTTGATCTCCACTAGATCATACTCCCACACAATTGATCTTCACAAGATCAAGCTCTCAAACAGTAGCAATGGTGTAAAAGCTCTCTCTTTACAAGTCCCTATGACAAAGAGAAAGTTTAAACAGAAGCTGTGATGTGAACTTGAGAAAACACAGAAAACAGGTTTTGAAAATTTTGGCTCTCAGTAAACAAAATCTCTGGTTTTTCAAAAGCTTAGGGACTCTTGAGGAAGAAGGAGTGTATGAGTTTAAATAGGAGAAACTAGCTGTTTTAACCCATACCCTAATCCCCCAAATCCAGGAAAATAATCGACGCTGAGATTGTGTACAATCGGCGCTGAGAATTGTACCAGAAGATCGTTGAATTAAGCGGCGGTCGACCGTGCTATTTTCGCGGTCGACCGCGAGACAGCTCAGAAGCTGAGAAAAGGTCCAGAGACTTCTGCGGTCGACCATGGCGGTCGACCGTGGAAATCTCAAGCTCACGGTCGATCGCGGCGGTCGACCGTGAAAGTTTCTGTGTAAAATATTCATTTGACTTCTACAAATTGTGAAACTTTGTAAAATGTTTTTAACACTAAAAACAAATTGTTTGGAAAAAGAATTTTGCGAATAGGTCCTCATACTTATGAAAAATAGTATTTTGTGAAAACG